TTAATGGTATATAAACTGAGTACTTTGAGACTTTGCCAGTTGTCTAAATTCAGTAATTCATACAAAGTCTGCTTGTATTTTGTTCCCAAAAGGACCTTAACATCATGAGCTGATGGGTCAGTAGGACTCTGCTGACTATGAAACAAAAGGCAAAGTTCTGACAGATCAAGCTGAGGAAATGCTGACAGTGAATTCAGTTTATACCAATGTTACTTTTAATCATAGGCTTGAAAGCCTTGTCTGGGTCATGTTCACCTGGGCAGCTCAACCCACGCCCTTCAAAGCCTCTAACATTTTCTTCTGAATTATCACTGTTATATTTATAGTGTTATTTTTAGTAATGAAACATCCCTGAGTGGCATAGAGTGCAATGTTTGCATCAAGCAGTGATTGTCATTTACGAAGCGTGAAATTTAATGAGTAAAGAAGAGGACAGGGCCTCCAGCACACTGTTCCTAATGGATGTCAGAGATAGGATTTATTTTCTGGAGTGGAGGCAGGAGGTGCTGGGACAGGCTGGTAGATGTACACTACAATTTTATGGCCAGGGAAAAGCAAGCTGTTCAGTCCCAGGGTTCCATTTCATACATCCTTAGACATTGGACAAAATAAAAACTTCCACGTTTCAGTTTGATCTTATGTGTTATATTCCTGGGATGTTCAAAAACAATAACTGAAAATAGGAACCATCTTCCAGGCTGGACGTTAGCTCGTCTGGAAACAGCACAATCAATGCAGAGTCAGGAGGGAGGAGGACTAGGGGAGCCTGAACGTCTTTCAAATGACATTTGAAGCACAGATTCAGAGGGGTGGAAAAGTCAACAGGGAAAGGAGCCATCAGCTGCACATCTCTAACTAAGCTGCCCGACCAATTTGTGAGACTTCTGTAATCTCAGAGAAACTCGTACAGTCTGGTGCTGGGAGGCCAAGAGGCTAGCACACTTCACCTCCTATGTGTAGAAGCCGCTACATCAGAAATCTTGCAAACTGTCCCAAAGGGAAACACACCCCCGTGCAAACTGCCACTGTGAAACTGAACAAAGAAAATGGCATAACAGAGCTCATCTTCATGGGCAGCTCTGGTGGCTGCTGCACCTCAGCACCATAATCTGGCACTGGTATGGAAAAAGCATTGGTGCCCAAGGTGCAACAGGAGGATAAACTGACCCCCGTGAAACTATGCTGAAGTGAACAGCGTGGAGCACGAAGTCAAAGCATTTATGAGAGTAACATCTACCTTCTGCTCAACAAAGCTCAAGAGGGACCTCTTAACGCCAAGGGCCTCCAACCTTGTGATGGGTTGAGCACCTTCTTTGCTGAAATGCCTCAATTTTTAGTGACTCTAGTTAGAGCTAAGCATCTGACAACTTGCAGAATCAATTCCTTAATTCTATCTATCACAAGCCAATCAAAAACCATATGTTGCTTTTGGAAACAAATTTTCTCAACTCAGGTGTCTTCTATTACCATGTTTCTCTTCTATCAATTTCCATTAGAAGGAAATACGAATCTTGGAATTAATTCTTTATAAAAATAGCAGGCAAGAGTCATATTTACAGGAAAATAAAGTCTTTGTGGGAGTATAATGAACACTGTACATCTGCTTCCTCAATGCCAAGAGTAATTTAGCATAATATGGTTGAATTACTTGAGAGCAATGCTAGAAGTAGTAGATTCAATACGTGTTTTAAATATATGCTTTAAATATCCTTTTTTTTTTACAGGTCCCAGGTTAATCAATCATTAAAAAATGTGTCATTTGAAAACCTTGTCACTAAAAATATTAACAAACACATCCAGTTACTACAGAAAGAAGATGTGACAAATTTTAGTTTTAGACACTTACTTGAAAAGCTTCAGGTTCTACTGTGGACTACTGAAGGCCAGAACAAACTAAAATGAAGAACTAATATTGTGAATTATTAATTTATTTAATAAAATTCATGCTATTCCATCCTTAAAAGTCCATGGATAACTTGAATATGTGAAGTCCAATATCAAGAGTTTGAACTTTTGAGTGTAAGTTTGCTGACTCTGCTGGTAAAACCAATCACAAAAATCCAGCCTGTGGCTGTGATCATTATGTGTTGTTCCACACAGTCAGTGAAGGGTAAAAGAGGTACTATACCTATGTGGCCAAGCACAAATGACAGAAAATTAAGTAAAATCTAACTGCAGTTACCACAGCACAGTTCCATAAACAAATAATGCTTGTAAATAAATTTTAATTTTCCAAATAAACAACAATGCTATTTGCTCAAATCCTGTACTAATAGTAACAAAAATTTGTTTGGCAATATACGAAATTCTTGGTAGAGGTTGTTGCCTATCAATGACAATGAAGATCTCGTATGCCAGAGTATTAGAAGTTTCAGGACAAAAGCTAAGAACCCACTTTTATTTCTAAACTGGATATTTCTATCTTTGTGATCTCTGACAAGCCACTTAACCTTTTTTCTTTCATTTCCACATCTATAAAATGTGATCATAATCATTATTGATTGGAAAGGTCATGGCATTGTAGTGATATAAGAATAGTTCTTTAAGGATTAAAGGCCCTGCAGATAACGATTTTTACTGGTGACCTCCATTTAGTTATCTTGCCTGGGAAGCAATTAAAAAATCTCAAGGAGCAATTAGTTTATTTGAGAAGAAAACAACATTTTCAAGATGTAACACACAATTGTGAAGGACTATTTGAGGACAAACCTTGTTATTATGCAGTACTATGAACAGTAGTATTGATTACTTATTCTATATTTCTATGGGTTGGCTAAATATAGACTTTTGATATACTGAAAAGGAATATATAAAATATTTCAATCAGTATGTGTGTGTTGTTGTGTTGGGAAATCAAGGAAAACATGAATCCCCTGCAATTAAAACTGAGCACTTCTGGAGTTCAGTACGACTCAATTTTTCCACGAGAAATCTACACAAATAGTATGTAGACATTGAGTTTTGATATACACATACTTGAAATTTGGGATCAAGAAGGGCTGCAAACAGGTAAATCACCTTATAAAGGAATATCAGTGTTACAGTATAAAGAAGCATCAAGACCAATGCTTTATTATGCTAACTAAAGACATTTTAAGGTAATCACCAGAGAAATGTCCTTTGAATTTGGAGTAAAAAAAGGTAACATTAATTTAACAACTGCTGTTCTATAGGATTAAGCAATTTTGAAGAGTATGGCACATTTGCAACAAAATTCTCACAACTAAATTTGCTGGACGAATTTTTTTCTTTTTTCTAAGTTGTAATGGACCTGCACAGAAACATTTATTAGCTGAGAGCTTGTAACTACTTTTGTACCTGTTCTTGCATTGCTAAAACATAACAAAGAAATTGTGATATTCTCTAGACTCGATTCTGCCACAAAATACATATGTAAACTTGCAAACTGACTGATGGAAGGCAAGGGAGAGCTCCACAAAGTACTTGAAATAGCCTGTGAATTTTCTGCTCATGCAGAAAAGAGAAGCTTGAGACCAGAACTGCACAAGGCATTAAGTTATCACCAAAACAGACCGATTTTCTTCACCCACCCTAGGGCCCTGCGGGCTCCCTGTGACACTGCCCCTCCAAGAGCCTGGACAATGAGCAGGTCCTTTGTGCTTCCCCTTGCCTTGCCTCAGATTGCACTGGCTTCTGCGTGGTTTGAAATAAATGCATCTGCTTGTGATCCTGCCTTCACTTCCTTTCTTCTCCCCTGCCTGCTTCTTCTTATTTCTGCTCTATGCCCTCTGCTAGCATCCCAGGAGGAGACGTCTCTGAAAAAGTTCACAATGAGTAAAAGTGGGGGTAAAGAGAGATGTAGCAGAAACTGAATCCCTCTTTCATAGCTAAAATATCTGTGTTTAGTACTACTGGGAGAATGCAGATACATTAATAATGACTGCTGATTAAACTTAATTAATCCACAAGATTAAGTCCACGGCAGCCTTCCACTCTGCTCTGTGTTTGCCTTTGGTTTTGCAAGCAAATGCACGTATAGTCAATTCAGAGATAGATAAAAAGAAAGCTCCAATCCTTTGCTCCACTCCTGAAATGCATCCAAAATAAATCCTATATATGCATATATATATATACACAGTTATATATACAGATATATACATACATATATGCATGTGTTTAAAACACACACAGATGTATGAGTGTAATGGAAACCATCAAGCCCGTCTAGATGATGACAATTATACTGTCCTTTGTAACCACGGACTTCACTCACTTTTGACTTTCCTCTTCCTTCCCTCCTTTCCTTCCTCTTCAGAGATACATTTTACACTTGCTATGGTTTTCACTGAGCTTGTTACCTATCTTTCTAATGGGTTCAGCAAAAAACAAACCAAGACTTGAAGTTACTTTTCAAAGAAGTATATATAAAACAAAATCATGTGTGAAATCAGAAAAATGTACATATGAGATTGTCTACATTTTTACTCCATGTTTCAGATACTTTACTGAGATCAGGTCCTACTATGTTCACTTTTATATGTTCTATCCCTGTAACAGTGAGAAAATAAAAAACAAACCCCAATCCTATTTCTCTTTTCACTAAAACCATCCAGACAAGGCTTTTGCACCATTGATACATTCCTGATGTTTGATTTACACACAGCACACATGCACTACATTACACATATCTCAGAAGTGATCCTGTCATTACACATTGGCAGCTGACAATTTAACTCTGGCAAAGCAAATTTAAGTAAGAAATATATGACAGCTGGGTTGAACATCCTTTAAATGTAGCCATGTCATCTTAAGTTACAGCATGTATGCATATAATGCATACATACATATATACATACATACATACATATATATGTACATATATATGTGAGTGTGTGTGTCTTCCATATATGCACCATAATTTCCAAGACAGCTACAAATTTCCACATGCATTAAACTATCTAAAAACATAGAACTAGGCAGTCTAATAAGTGGAATTTTCTTAAATTATATTTGAACAATAAACAGCAAGTGTAATACTGCAAAGTACTGCTCTATTATCATGTATATCTACAATAAAATTCTAGGAACAGTTGTCTCCCAAAACATCCCCCAATAAAAGGAAATTTAAAAAAAAGGTAACACCCAGTGTCCTATATTTGTATATTCATTGTCAGTTCAAAAACAAACAAACAAAAAAGTAAACAAAAGAGAAAAACGACATCCCCACTCAGAGTTGCATATTTACATTCTTCAAACTGTAGCGGTGAAAAATAATTCTATTAAGTGCAGGACATTCCTAGTGTTGCAGTAGTGACATTTTTTATAATTTCTTCATGAAAACATTTCTTTTTGTCTTACTAGTGATGCATTCCATGACTACGTGAAAATTCTATTATCCCCTTCACTTGCAGCCAGTGGTTGAGTCTGGATTGAAAAGCTCCTTGTACAATGGAGGAAACAGTGTGTTCACTATGTCTGGATGAGATTGCTTAAATACCTGCAGTTTCTCTCCGTGCAAGTTGCAAAGTGCAGTAATTGTTGGTATCTTGGCTATTAACTGTAAGACATTGAAACAAAAAAAAAGGAAGAAGGTGGAAGCATACTCTGTATAAATTACACTTTCCAAAATTAACCATGTTAGTGTCTTGCTGAGTTACTGAAGGTGATACTCCAAGCTCCATCAAAACCCATCCACAGGTCTAGACATTGTTCTTTCTCTAAGAGCCTAGAAAGAGCTGCCCCCAAAGTTTTAGCCAAGGGCCCAAAATGCATTTAAAAAGGAACAGCCTCAACAAGCACTTTTTAAAGGCAGTTGCATTCTTTACAGGGTATGAACTAAAATTATTGGCAAATTGAACAAAAAAAGGATTAAGAGGCAACAGTCAGAAGAGTCAAAGAAGCCTATCTTCTACTTATGGCAGGCATATAGTGCATTTCTTTTAGCTTACATTAATGTGGCAATAAATACAGGAATGGCTGTGGAAAGAGAAGAGTCACCCTTGAGGATTGCTTGACATTTTGTTTAAAGAATTTACCTTTGTCAATGTCTCCTCGTCGAGGTGGTTCTTCTGAATAACATGTTGAAGTGCAAAGTAAATCTTTTCCTGAAGCTTCTGGACCTTCCTTGGCTCTATTAACCAGGCTCGATCTGAGGAAAAGGAGAACAGGAGTTAAAGAATGCATGTGGGGCATGCTCATGGTGCACACAGATTACTCTATTGGCAAGTAGCCACAGGAATCATAATTCTCATGAGGAGGGACTGCGTGGTAATTAAAGGCATTGTTTCAGAGGCAAAGTGTCTTAATCCATTAAAGGATCACCTGAGCACTTAATTAACACATACAAAACATCCAGGAACACAGTGTTGGCTCTGCACCTCTGTTTAAAGCAGGATGCTAGGCATAAAGATGGGAACAGAAATGAAACACAGCTCAGTATTTTATTATTCTCTGTTGGTATCATCAGTGTTCTACTTTCATACTGGTTAGGTGACAAACATATCATGTTATCTCAGTGTCTTAATACATAAATAATAAACTTACTGATCAAAACAGGTCTTTGAAAATAAGAGAATATAATTATTCAAACATTAATATATCTCATTGTGTACTAGGCTAACATTTCGAGACAAAATATATTCTAAATAAAAAGAAGTGGCTTTCTTCAAGATAATTTCTTCAATAATTCAAAATAATTACAAAGTGAAAGTTCATTATTTAAAAATGTTCTCTTTTCGAACAACATAAAATACAAGATTATCTGGAAGAATAACAGCTATACAGTTGTTTTTATATGACTTCTACTGGATTCAAACCCCAGGTGCAAGAGGTTGCCCTTACTCTCTATTTTCTCAGAAGTCATAGGTTCTGGAGACAAACACAGAGAAAGATAAGCAACAGACCCCAAGACAATCCAAACCCATTAATGCAGCGTGCTTGTAGCACCATTGAACCTTCTGTTTTCCCAGTCTGAAAACTGTTTTTTTTCCCCTTAATCCAGACTAATTCTTGGGTATAGATTTTAGCTTTCATACAGGAAATAACAAAACTTAATTTATCACGGGCATGAATCTTCATGTACAAACTGAAAAATTCAGGAAAAACCCCTTTCACTTTTCTTTCACCCATTCCCCGTCTCTAAAATAGGCCCAGAAATGATTTAAGTTAACCACTTCAATGAACACACATGCCACACAGGCTGGAAGCGAGCAACATTTCATCACAGCAAAATTCTGCCATTTGTCTGACTGTCTCTGAGGAGGAATGTATGAAAAGAGTTGATTGTCAAGTACTGTGAAAAGAGGCAAAAACAAAACACAGATGATCAGGAAAAGAAAACAGTATTTTATAAATTAGAGAATTGTGTTCCCTGAAAGTAAATCAATGGATCCTGTGCTATCAGTAGTCATAGAAACAGAATTAGCTGAGAACACAGCTGGGACACCTTTGAGGTGGAAATCACCGTTTGGAGGGCTGTATATGCAATATTTTGGTGTAACCTCGTGAAGAGTCACTGGCTCAACTATTTCACTTCTGAGCAGACAGTGGCAAGAACGTGGCTCAAAGTGAAGGAAAAAGGAGTGGGGTCTTTACAGCAGGTGTTGTTAACAAGGAGAATGAATGTGCTGACACCATCTGTGATAGTCTAATTCTGACTAACATAATCTCCAACACAGATGTGCGAAAAGCACAAGGTGACCTAGAAGAAGTCTTCAGCAGAAGAAGTTGGAAAAATAATTAATGGTGTGGATTTTTTTGGTAAGGCTATTTAAGAGGTTACCCTTAGATGGAATTGTGTGTCTGCATTCCCTGAGGCATATTTAAAAATCCCACACCAAACGATGAGCTTGTATACTAGATCCACCTTCTGAGTCAACTTAATCACAAAAGTCTCCTCTGTGGTCAGTCAGCCATCCCTTAAATCCCATAAATGCATGCTTGCCTGTGTAGAGTTATGATATATGAATACATGAAAAAGAGCATGTTGCACTTCTAATCACTACCTCTCACCAGGAACAACGTTCACACAGGACTGCACACCAATTTTTACTGCTTATGTTCTCATTCCCAAGAAAAAAGCTCATCATAGTTATGGACTATATAACCTACTCAGGGTTGTGCTCCCTGAAAAAGCGAGTAGGAGTGTGCACCTTTTGAGTAACATGGTTCTCTTCATGTGGCCTGGAGGAAGGCCAGCCTGCATTTCTTGTCCGCACAATCCTGCTCCATTTCTGTTACACTTTGGACCTACCTTCAGTATATGTAATTCCTGATGGTATATTTGGGTAATTCAAGTATTCTTCCACTGCTTAATACATTGCTTAACATTATTTATTAATTCAAATAACATTGTTTAACGTTATTATTTATTATTTATTAACAGCTATTTAAGTATGTAGAAACAGACATGGATAAAGATGGGAAAAAAATCAGTGTTTGGAATGAAAAATTACCTGGTGATATCAAAACAGCAGATGAAAACAAGGCAATCTCCTCCTCAGTCAGCTGTAAGGAACATAAATTCTTTGCAAAGTCAAACGCTTCATTTACCAGATCATCAGAACCTGCAGACCAAAGAGGAGAAAACCAATGCTAGAAATCAGCTCTTCAACCTGCAGGGATTGTTTTGGTGTCAGAAAAAGTTGTTCCTGAATTTCTGTACTGCTAAAGCAAGTGCTTTTTCCACCTAAGCTGAAAATGGCACTAAAATGTATGCTGAAGTGAAAAAAATATCAAGAATTAGATTCAAGTACAAAAATTGTACAGACATTTTGGAAGAGAGTACTCTTTTCCCAATGAGGCAAGAATTGGTATGTCTAAACAGGTATTAAACCTAAGGAGGAGGAAGGACCAGCCCTAAATAACTTTCATAATTTTACTAATTAACAGTACAGATGTTTATGAAAATTTGCAAAAGCATCATAAAGATAAACAAAAATCAACCAATACACATTCATAAATGCTTTAAACTTGTAAAGAAGTAGTACGCTTATGATAGACTAAGAAAAAACCTATGTGTGTGATAAATATATACATTTGAACACAATATCCCTGAGTTTGGTCCTGAATCAATTTCTGATAATATCAGTCTGATGGATGCACAAAACACAAACATTTCACTATTAACATTTCAGGGAGCACTCAACATCATGTTGAGAAACTGATGAAAAAAGTAATTTTTTCACTACGTTAATCTAAATTAGCTTACTTTTAGGCAAAACAGTATTTTCAACAAGTCCTTATCTATATTTTGCACCAGTACATTATTTTAGTATCCTCATTACTGGGACTAATATTGCCGTCTGCATGATACAATTAGTGGGAGGGATTTGATACATCAAGTGTAACTGAACTATAAAGATAAACAGCTCGACTCCTGCCATAAACTCATGGTTCATCAAAACATCAGAAGGCAAGTAATCTATTCGAAAAAACCCTCTTGCTGCTCTTTTTTTTATTAGAGAAACACACCTATCATTGTTAGCAGCTAATGGAATCACCTTTTTTTTTCTTCTTCTGTTCCAACCTAGACATTCAGAGACTTGGGGATTCAACATTTACTGCAGATTTCCACTGTGGGTCACTATCCTCAAAAATTTAAATTTCTTGCTATGTGGCTCAATGCAATTGGTTGGAAAAAAGAAGAGCAACATACCCAGAGCTTTAAACATTTGCATCCCTCCATACTTTCCTTCAAACAGAACAGTATTGTTAAGTGGGTTGAAGGCACGGCACATTCTCACCAATACGACTTCCAAGCAGCCTAGCAGACAGAAAAAAGAGCAAAGGTACCAGGTATTATTGCCTAACAGCACAGTACAGGAAATCTCAAGAAGGTATTTACAAAGCCATCAGTCCTTAAAAACATCAGAAGGGACAGACACTCTCTGAAGATATCTGGATTATACATCTATGAATGTGAGAAAAAATATTTCTGTCTGAGTATAGAAAGGGGTCATTTCTGGTCCAGTCTAACCACCTTTTCTATAGGTTGACTTTTTCACTCTTTGCAGAAAATTAGCAGCCTGAGCTGAATCTGAATTTAGATCTTGAGCAAATAATTTCAGTTTGAAATACTTTATCCTGAAAAATAGGCATTTTTTGAAACTCCTTTTTAATAATTAATATTTTTTTTTAAATAATAACAAGCAGCTTTGTTCAAGGCACATAAAAATCCCAGCTTATTTTGGCTGCAGAGGAAGAACAACACAAAGCATTTTTACAAGTTGAAGTGCTGCCAAGAGCACCCCTAAAATAGATTATACTTCTTGTTTGTTTTCCTTTTTCTTTTTTACTGGTTGTTGAATAGAGAAAGAAACACTTCTTTTTCACTTCTTATCTTTGCATGTTATTTCCTAACTGCAAAAACATGTAGTCAGAAAAGTGGAAGGAAAGATTTTCAGATGCCTTAATTAAATCTCCTAAATCTCCTGTAAGATGAACTTGAATCTGAGGATTCTTCCACAGACATGCTTTTGAAAGAAAAGCCCTCATTTTCTAACTCCTGGTCAGCATTAATAGCAAAAGAGAAAATAAAACCTGACGTATTTTTATATGCTATAGCTTAACAATGTATTCCAACAGTAGCATGTAATAAATCTTTTCCTGAAGGCGCAGTTGTGTGGTTAGCTTTGCCAGTCAAATGAAGATTCCTAGGGATGCACTGGTACCTGCAGAATTTTCAAAATAAGTACGAGATTAAAAATAATAGTTTTTGTGCTATAACTCCCTTTTTCTAGGAGGTTGCCTGTGTGTTCCCTGTGTCTCTGTCTCACTTCCCTTTGCAGCTGTGCCCATCATCAGAGCCCAGTCCCTCACCAAGATAGTCAAGGTGCCGTAATGCCAAAGTTGCAGGTTTGAGTCCCCTATGGGCCACTTCAGAGCTGGACTCGATGATCCTTGTTGGATCCCTTCCACCTTAGAACAGTCTGTGATTCTGGTTTTGCCACTGAGGTTAGCTCAGTTGGTTGGAGTATGGTGCTAATAATGCCAGGGTTGTGGGTTTGATCTCTGTACAGGCCATTCACTGAAGAACTTGACTCAATGATCCCTGTGGGTCCCTTCCAACTCAGAATAGTCTGTGAATTCTGTGTATAGTGTGCTGAATCACACAGGCTTTCAGCCTAAGTGAAGAGATCTCACTTCAAATAGAAGCACTTCTTAAGTTTTAACAAGCTGATTCACACAGCATCCTACTTTTTACACATGGAGAGAGCAAGAAACTGATATGACAGGATAAATGTAGTTAATTACCAGTTGTGGTTCTTGTGGTTCACTTAGTCATGCCATTTTGTCCTCCTGGGCATAGTCACGATAAATCTTGTCAGGAGTCTTTTGGTGGACAGAAATTACTGAGTCCCTTGTTGAGAAAGGAAAGCCATTTCTCCCTCTCCCTCATGCACACACATGCAAACCTGGCATGCAGAGAGAGCATGGCTGGAGCACACTGCTGTAATCTGCTCTCATTTACTCTGAAACCAACTGGCACCAGCAGGAATTTTCCCTCCTGTGCATTGGCTGTAGAGTGTTTCTGTAGTCTCATTAAAAAGATTAAAGATGACCACAGAGGCAGGCCCCAGTGAGCCTGCCTTCGTTTCATTAATGACAAGAGGGGATTTTACAGGGTGGCAGATGACTGATTCGACCAGCTCAATTTGCAGGCTCCTTCCACCACATGTCAGATTGGAGCAGTGGTTATGTGTGTGTGTGTGTGTGTGTGTGTGTGTGTGTGTACTTAATAACCACAACTGACTGTAGAGAGAAGGGGATCAGAAGGCAGTAACATCATTAATGTGGAAAATACAGCAAGGTTAATGTACTTAATCCAATGGACAGAAATTAGGGCTCCTTCAAAATTAAAATGATTTGCAGGAAATAACAGAAAAGCACATTTCTAGGGTGCTAGGTGCTAAACCAGTCTCAAGCCTCCGGTGCTTACCCACCTGACTTAAGAAGGAGAATTTGGTCATTCTGGCAGAGCTCCATGAAGCCTGTTATGCGCTTTGCAAACTCCACCACATACTGGATAGCATGAGTGATCTGAATGGCACACTGCTGCCACAGAGCTTCTCTTGTCTTCCAGGAAAACACACATGGAAAAGCAAAGCAGTGAGCAAGCAGGTACATCAGTGCATTAAGTTCTTCAGGTGGTCTTACAGACAGCAGCACTCCTCACACTCCACCCCCATACCCAGGCAGAGCTAGCAGCATTTCTTCTTCTCTAGGTATCCAACACATCTCATTAGAAAGCTGTTTGTGCAAGCCACTGTCCCACTCATCTGAACTTAGACATTGCCTCTTCAAAGGAGCAGAATACACTGCTCAGTGTTAAAATGTGGTTCTAATGCTGGATCTTGTGCAGGACAGACTAATAATGACACAAAAAACTTACACATTCCACAGCACTCTTAGGCAAGAAGTGGCACAATGCTATTAATTTATTCAACAGAATATTTTTCCTAGTTTGAAACTTAAAATATATAATTGAAGTATCTGAACACTCATTACATGAAAATTTCAACTTCCTCATAACAATTTTCTTTGCAGACACGTGTGCAACTATAAATGGATGTTGGTTTCATGTCACAGCTCTGCAAGCTGTGGTGTGTTTTTGTTTCTGCTAATTCTGCATAGCCCCTCAGATTTCAAAGAACAAGCTGCAGTCTCTCCTGTGTCTTACATGACCAGCTAATGTGCCAAGTGAAGTCTGACTCAAGACTCATCACTAATGAAGCCAGTGCAAGAGGCGCAGAGGTTTCTGTTGACTGCATTACATCAGAAGAGATGGAAAATAGACTGAACATGACCTGGGAATCGCAGAAGGTGAACAAAAATGTAGTGTAATGAGTTAATTTTTCTACCCAATATGGAACAGTTTCAATTTAAGGAATACTTTCAGTTTGTTATTATGTATTGTCTTAAGTGACAGGTGCTTTTTATTCACATAAAAACCAGATGTGTTTTCAAAATTACAGGGAAACAAGGTTACATTGTCTTATTTTCTTAAAATCCTTACAACAGAGGATCCAATCATAATCACATTGAAGTTAACTGAATTTGTGCATGAGGTTTAGATCTGTAATAACAAGCACAAAAAACTGGATTGTATTACCATACCTAAGTTTTAACATTAACAAACAGCCCAATATGCTGGAAAGCTTCATCTTCTTTTTATGAACTGTCACTGCTTTGCCTTCAGTAACCAGTTCACCAAAGATACTGAAAACTGTATTTTGACCTGTACAAAACTCATCAGTGTATTCTTGCCAAATAAATCACTCTGTTAACAATTTCAAGCAGAAGAAAAACCATATTACAGGATTGTACCTTGCTCTGGTAAACCTTTATTTCTTCATACGTGTGGGTCTGCCATGCTAGCTGATGTAATTCTTCCATTGTATATTGGCATGTCTCCAAATGAGATTTAATGATATTCTGTGCAATTCGATCTGTGAAAAGGAGAATAAAAAATTGCTTGCATGAAACAGAGAACAGTGAACATCTGCAACAGCAAAATGTTGAAAACATTGAAGTTGCTGGAAAATACACATTTAAGAAAATTAATATTTTCTTTTCAATGCTACCTTTCTCATTTGTTTTTAATTCTGAAGTTGATTATTGCAAAATATTTCAGTATTCAGCCCAAAACCAAATGATCTTGATAAACAGTGGATCTGCAGATTAAAATAGCAATGATTTTTGTGAAATTATACTGAATCTTTTTTTCTGAAAGTGATTTAATATGTTTAAATAAATATCATTTGGAGACCCTGTTTACCAAATTGCTTTTGTCTGCCCCAAACTGATAGACTCTTCTAGCCTGGAGAAGGAATACTGCTGTTGATCATCACCCCAGCAGGACACCTCCTACTGTGTGTAGGTGTTTGCCTCCTTTCCTCATTGTCCATTTCCTTCTACTTCTACTAAAAGAACTAATCTACTGAACTCAGTGGTCAGCAGGTTCAGAGCTGCCAGATCTCTTAGAAATTGACTGACTTCTTGAACTTACCATGAACATTTGCCTTACCTTGGAATGACGCATAAAAGAAGAGGAAACAGGTATCTTTTTTCTCAGATTAGCTTTAAGCTGGATCATTTTCTGATTGAATTTGATTAATTCAATCAGGATTTGATGGAGCAAGAACATGGAAACTGGTTTTAGCAAGGGGTGAAAGCTAAAACTAGTATCCTGGGGTTTAGAAGGAGAGATGGAGGACAAAAATCTCACACACAGTGCTAAGCTACCTTAAAGTTGTCCTGAAATTGCAGCCTCAAAAATTACTTCACAACAAGGAATGCAGGATGCAAAGCAGAAAAGGAAGCATTCAATCTTGCCCTAGAAACCCACTGAAACGATGAGTAAACTTCTTAGACAAGTATTTTAAAGCAGACCTTCTCCCTTAAAGCCACTTGAGTGGATTAAAAAAACATTTTTACAAAAACTTCCAACATGAATTCATTAGCATTAGGAGTTGAAATATTGTAATTAAACATGATACAGAAAAGGGATGATTTCCTATTTTGCAGCTTTGGGACCTACACGTCTGATGAAGCTCCTTGCTTTGAAAACTTTTCTTAAGCGAAAGGAACAATGTTGAAGCCACAGAAGTGAACTGAAGCACTTGCAGCAGAACCAGCATTGTGCAGAAAACATTCGTCAAAAAAGGAAAAGAACACTGACAAAGTGCTAGCCAAACCTGAGCATGGGAAGTGGAAAGAATTAGGTGTACCAAGTGAACACTTGTTCAGATCCTCAAGTTTGCATAGAGTGTAAGGATCTGGAGCCTGGACTTCCAAAATAAGTCTGCTTCCTTGGCCAAATACTGACTGAACTTAAAGACACCAGAAAGAAGGGAAGCTGAAAAGAGAACGTAGACGTGTATGTTCCCTGTAACTGCTAGAGAAGTGCTAGTTGAAGGACAGATGCCCATGCCACTCTCACAGTTAAGAAACTGAGACTCAGTAGAAAGACGCTGAAGATAAAAAGTTGCAAGTTTGTATAGGAAAAATAAAACCTGCTTAATTGAATATGTGCAGTTCTCCTTTTATGGGTCAACACTATCTTTAGGCTTCCTGATGGAAGAATTGACTCCGGCCTAAAGATAACTAAGAATGTATATTAATAGAGTGATCTACCCACTGTTCTTTTATGGGAGGTTAGGATGGGAGTCTTAACCTTTGATGGTAAGGTATTGCATTTCATAATAAAAATCTTGAAGATAAGTGGGCATCTCTCTCACAACAAATGTCTCACGTGTTACTGCTTAGATAGATTTCTAATCAGATAAAGTGACCTGATGTCAACAATCTGAAAAAGACCTTTTGATTTCACTGACTTCAAAACACATTTGATTAGCAATTCCACACTACTGCAGAGCTCCTCAGCTTTCCTCCTTTTCCTAGCATTTAGGTATTTACCTGAGAAATGAAGAGCTGAGAAACACTCTAGGGCTTTCAAGGGATGGCATTCTGTGTTCTACCCCATGCATCTTTTCCTTATATACTTATGCTTATGTTGAGCTGACATTAAAACCAATTTAGATGTAAAAAGGCCAGGGGCAATCACAGCAAGCAGCAGCTCTGAATGCTGACATCCAAAGGGGAATCAGGTGCAAGACAGACTTGAAACTCGTGTGCCGCAGGCTAGGCAAGGCTCAGTGTGTGACAGAAAGGGTACACTGGGTCTCTGAGGAGAAGGGAGCTGCTCATTCAGCAGAGGAGCACTGGTTACATTCCATGCTGGAGGCCCTGGAAGGAGCTTTATGCAAATACAGCCTACAACTGGGTGGCAGAGCTGACATGATGCAAAAAGTAAAAGAAGTATACACCTGTCTTGGCTTCTCAGATGGTCCAGAAACAGAAGATCCAACACAGGCAGAGCAAAGAATGTCACTCTTAAAGGGTTTCACAGACCACAGCCTTTTTTTTCTTCCCTGATATTTTCAGATTTTAGCATCTTTTTGCTAATGAAGTTGGAGTCAGTACACATCTTGGCAAATCCCAAGGAAAATGACATTCCTAAACCACTGGCAACAATATAAATGACATCTGATGTAAACCTGTCCTATCACAAGTGCAGTCCTGTACTCAAAATATATGAATTTCTGTGACGCCTGGCAGCTCTGAAATATGCTAACCACCAAGTTCAAGAGACTAGTTCTTTTAATAAAACTAAAAAGAAATGGACAATGGGGAAAGCAAGAGAGTATCTACACACAACAGGAAGACAGAAACTGCATTGATGCAGAGGCCTAAAGCTTGCGGATGTACCCTGCAGGGGGGAAAATCTAATAGATATTTTCCTCCTCTTCTGCAGGCTAGAGGGATCCACTAAAATTACTTCACATATCAAGTCTTGACTTTCAGTTGATTTTGTTTTCAAAATTCTTGGGCAATATGTTTCAAGGGCCCCCTATTTGCTTGTAACTGCATGTACACTACTAGAAATCCTGTTTGGATGGACTCCAAGGACCACAAAAGACAATTTTGTTGTTGTGACTTCAATGTAAACTGCATTTCTATTTAAAATATTGTCAGCTCCCATTTTACGTAAGTTACAGCAGGTTTGCTGTATGAAAAGGAAAACAAGAGAGATGATTCTGGCCACATGGGTGTGAGAATCAGTGTCTGCAGCATTTTATTTTCTAAGGACCTACTGCTTCAACTATTGAGTGAAAATTAGTAATTCTAATGAAAAGAATTCTGGAGCCTGGATGACAGTACATCACCAGCCTGTAAACTGCAGGATTTGTAAAGCTTATCTATTTGCCACAGTACACAGACATAAATTTACTCGTCCCCTTTTGCCTACATACTAGGTTTATTACATTGGGGCTAAATCTCTTATCTTAATCACTTGATACATGAAAATCACAGCATATCCTGGCAGATTGACTCTGTCTGGGAAACACAGTCCACAGAAAATAATGCTCCCGGTATCCAGACTCTGGTATACACTGGGATGTGGAAGCATTTGCATTAGGCAGCTTCATTCTAATTTGAAATTTTCTTAGTATTGGTACCTTGAAATCTTTTCTTGAAAACCAGACACTTTTTCTACAAGTGCTCTGCTTCATTAAAAAAAAAATCTGGAAAGAAGTACTTGCTTCCAGAGAGATAAACCAGAAACAATATGCTCAGCCAAGGAAACTGTCAATAATTGTAACCAATGGTTTCAAAAACCATAATCACTCAAACAAAATACATCATGGGGTGTCCACTTACATTTCATTACTGTCCTGCATGTCTCTGACTGGCTTTCTATAATGGCCCACTATTCTACCTGTAGAGACTCATCTGTCCTTATGAGACAAGGAAATCCAGATGATGTTCGTTGGCATGGCTAGAGAGCAGAAACCTGAGAGGGCAGGCTGGTCTCCACCCCATGCAACACACAGGGCGTGCTGCCCTTCTTGTAGCAGGGCCTGGTGAGGTCTTGAGAGGTGTCAGACCAATGGGTAGATAATTTAATTGGAATTTGCAAAGCAGCAGTCCAAATAATACAAAAGTTTAACGTATAGTAGGAGATCTCCAGAAGAAGCTGAGAATAGTACATCAGGAAGCTGAAGAGGACCACGGGAGATTAATGTCACTTCCGGAAAAGAAATGAGTTTTACATTTGTCCTGGCCTACCTAAAAGAGAAGACAGAACCAAGAGACTTGATTCTGTGAGGATTTCCCAGTGAAGTAAGCTATACAGTGAAGCAGTGTAACAACCCTGGATCCCTACAGATGCATCAAATATCACTTGCCGCTCCTCTCTGACCTTCCATCCCCAGTGTCTGGGTGGTTAATGGGAATCCTGCATGGGCACAAGGGACCAGTCTGCTCTGTTTGACTAGTCATCTGCCACTGCCTTCAGGGCTGAACATGGGACTGGGTTGTGGCTTCTACCTTTCCCTAAAGTTGTCTGCCTCTTTTGCCTACTGAGCAGTCGCTTCTCCAAAACTTGTAGGAACTCAAGTGTCTGAGACTGCTGCTTCATTTCCTTGGACCTGGAGAGTAGCTGAAGGGTCATTGCACAGCCCTGACAGAAGGGCTGGGGAGACAAAAAAGCTGTAAAAGCTCTATTTCATCAACAAAACAGGCCAAAAGCATATGTTGCAAGAGAAGAGCCACAGTGCATAAACTTGGGACTGCAGCTCACTGCTTACGGAACGACCCTTTCTGTTTCTAGTTTTGTTTGCTCTGACAGGATCTTCCCCCTCTCCTCCCTTCCCTCCCTTTCTCTTTCTTTCTCTCCTACTGTACTTTCTAATTGTAGATTTCAAGAGTTACCTCCAAAGACTACAATTGCTCAAATATTTATTGCATCAGTAGAGTAGGAATTGCTTAAATAGAAGCACATACAGAAAACTGAACATTGCAACCTAGACAGCAATCGAAATCAGCATACCACTGACCCACAGGGGTCTACCATAAGCTGGTAAGGCTGATGCCTTTTTCCGGC